TAGTTCACGCTTTATTTTCTCTGTGCACGACGAGGTTCACCATATTGAACCTAATCCCCCACTGTTTCTGTTATATATCCAAAAGAGTCCAGGGACCAGGAAAGTTGTTTATTACAAACAACGGTAAGAGTTTATGAGTAGCAAGCTTCAATTAGCCCACTCGTTTTTTCACAGGCACCAGGCCCTCTTGATGATGTTCGTTTAGGGTTTCACTCCTTGGGAGATCGTTAATTCCCCATAATTTGGATGCATTTAAATGCGATGGAAATGTTTGTGATAACCAACAAAGAGCACTGGACAGCTGTTTCGTCCCGTTTGGGACTCGTCAGCTGTGAGTACTTTTTGTGTCTTTTTCAGGATTTAAACCGCGAACATTCGGGACGGGACCTCAAACCCCTACCCCTGAGCTACACGGTCGACAGTCATCACCTTGTGCGAATGGCTCAATCAATTTTAGAGTAGCAAGCTTGGATTAGCAGGGGCAAGGATTTTAAAGTCCCAATCCGAATGTTCGCGGTTCGAGTCCTGACAGAGACACAAAAAGTAAGCACTGCTGACGAGTCCCAAACAGGGCCAAACAGCTTCCCAGTGCTCTTTGTCGGTTATCACAAACATTTCCATCGCAGTTGAAACGGCAAGAGTATCGATAAATTGAGGTACAGACGAAAAAAAGTCTCATTTGAAACAGGTCATCCTAATTCCCACAAGCACACAAGGTGATTAATGAAAAGTTACAACATTGGATGGGCATTTTCTTTATTTACGAAATTAAATCCGTCAATCCACTCGGAAATTTCGTGGAACTCCAATAACCGCAAGCTACTAACAAGTGTGAGTAGCACCTCACAACACTTCCGTGTAACATAATTAATTAGAATAAGTATCGATGAGATATGCCGAAAATCAAGTCAGCTTGTGGTAAATGGATAGAGTGGAGACAAAGATAGAAAGATTTGTATCTATGTGCACGGATAAATAACCGATCGAACATTATTTTACGTTAACGAGATAGCGACAAGTTCACACCAATTTGTTTCAGTGGACATTCTACTGAATCAAACCTTTGAATTGTCATCAACTTGGATGTATGTGGTCTTCTGCTTGATTACGCACGGCAGCTGATAGAGTTCTCGTCCTCTTGATCGACTATTTGGCCATTTTCTTACTGATACCTTGACCACGCATTGCAGACAATTAATTTGGGAGTGCGTGCTCGAAAAAAAGTGTCTATCGGCCCCTTTGTTCTATCTACCTAATTGTAATGGTAGATACACTGAAAACCATAAATGATACAAGCTGGCGGAAAAGGGAATTATGTCCTTCCTAACATCCACAGAAACACCTCCCCCCACTCCTCAGTGAATATTATTGTCACTGAATAATGCTGCCCTTTTGTCATACTCATTTGTAAGAAACACTGCTTTAAAATACTATGGTCCAAATATACAACTGGGACAACTCAAGGAAGTAAACAGTTCATATTTGATTCGTATGTGAATAAATAAATAGAAGGTGATGAGGTACAGCCCCAGTAAGCCAACACTCACAGGAGGTGCATCGAGATATCAATCTTTCTTTCGCCCTCAGTGACGGTAGTCAGCATCCAGTAGCAGAGAGGGATAGATGCTAGGTGTTTTAGTCTTGACGATGAGCCAAATAATGCAGCCAGTTGGGGTCCGTGCGGTATATATATATATATATATATATATATATATACACCACGATTCTCTACAGGAATGAAACCACTATACAGTGTGCCTTTCAAAAGTTTATCAATGTTAAATAGGTCATACGTTGAAATTGCGGGATGAAAGTCGATCTAAGTAGTATCAAATCAGCTATTTAAAATATTACTGAACATTCATAGTTGATATGAGCATACAGTAGTTAGAGAGAGTGGGAGGTGGGTGAAAAACAGTGGAGCAACAACGTATAGTTTTTTAATCACTGTTAGGAATCGACAGTCTGTGATGGTTCATATGTGGACATCAAGGCCTATNGTATGCTACCGCACACTATGCTGAATGGAATATGGTTTTAGCATGAAAGAAGTGGTAGATAAACCACCCGACTAACCTGCTGATAGGTGCCCATAGGAACCGCCGGAACTGGAGACCATACTGCGTGATACACGCATCGCTTGCATCACGTTCAAAGAGCCCTGAGAACTGCGTGTTAGGCTAGAGATATCGAATAAATCGTTCACGGATGATTGCGAATGGGAGCGTTTCTTTCCGCCTCGAAGTAAAGGACCGGTAAGTCCAACACCAGCCGAACCACCGGCGCCACCACCACCGCCCCCACTGCCGCTATTAGGAACGTAGCCACTGCTATGATGACCACGAAAAGGAACACCGGTAGGCATGTAGTTTGTCGGGGGTCCAGAGTGATAGGGTTGAGAGGAATGGGGAGGAAAGGGTAGGCGATAAAAGGAATTCGGTTGTTGAAGAGGATTAACTCCACCCGAACTGCTCCCGCTTGTGCCAAAGCCAGATACGGGGGTAGTAAGTGTGCTGGACCAGTAGGATGGAATCATTGAGGGATCGGGAACATTGGTCATACTCGAATTGGTGAACCACCGCCGAACAGCATTGAATGCGGCGGCAGCAACCATGGCTTCAGGAGAAGCAGTACATGGAGCACCAACACGAGGGATGTAGGATTCCGTAGTTGACCTTAATCTGTAAAAACAAAAAGGAGACATAAAACAAGAGAACAGATAAGTAAGTTGGTATATGTACCTCTATTTATCTATCTGAATTGATCGATGAAAATTGACGTCGAATGGGGTAATTTAGGGCAAAAGGAAATGCAAGAGAGACAAAGGTTTATAGTTAAAAGGGTCTGATTAAAAACACGGTGAATGTTTAAGGTTCGCTAGAGGCGTCATTTTCCAACATTTCATCCTTTCAATTTAGGGCACAATGTTGTCCCCACAGTTACCGATACCAAAAAAAATACAATAACGGGGGTTCGTGAAACTTTTGTCTTGTCGGCATTCGGTACAAAAGAGACCCCAAAAACGGAGAGGGGCTTCCGAAAACAGTAAATCATCGACATCGATTATTTCCCCATGTGGATTGGGGGTGGAGTCGGATGGAAACAAATGACGATGTTGTGTGAATCGCCAATAAATTAAGTGAACAGTGCCAAAAAGGTGGACATTGGTGAAGATTTTTCTTCTCTTTTGTTTTTTTTTCTCGCTCTGTGTCGACCCGTGGGATGGAGTGGAGTGGGGCGGGGTGGGATGGAATGGAATGGGAAATACAACCGTGTTGAAAGGCGAAACCAAGTTCGCATTGTAAGGTATTCAAGCGGAGAACAGAGGGAAAGAGCACTGTACAGGATATGCCCGGCGGGGATACAGTGGTCCGTATGTGTGTGCCTTTGCATATGTATGCATACGTTAATGTGTAAGCATTGTCACTATTTGTTCGAAATAGTAAATGAGTGAAGACGAGCAGGCATGCGATCAGTCGGTCGGTCGGTCGGTCGCACGCGCTCTCTCGTTTATGTGTGAGGAAACAACCCCACATCTGGTTATT